CTCCTGGGGAGTCCCCTGGAACATGGTCGCCGGCCTGGGCACTGGATCGTGCAGGCGGCCCAGGACAGCGTGTCCTGGGAGTGAGCCCAAGGCCACTTGCGGAGCCTGGAGGCAGCCAGGCCAGCGCCGGACGCAGCCCAGCTCTCGCCAGGAGGAGGTGTCCGGCCTGAAGAGAGAGTCTCTCTGTTTGTGTGTTTTTAATGATATAGATTTTTTTAATGCTTTTTAAATGTTTTTATTAATGAGAGGAAGGGAGAGGGAGAGAGAGAAACATTAATGATGAGCATCATGGATCGGCTGCCTCCTGCACGCCCCACATTGGGGATCGAGCCTGCAACCCGGAAATCGGAACCCTGACCTCCTGGTTCATAGGTTGATGCCCAACCCCTGAGCCACCGCGGCCGGGCTCTGGTCTCCTTTTCCCCGTCCACTTTCCTGCCTCACGTGGTGGGCCATCGGGGAGCAGGTGCCTGCGCGGGTGCGTCCAGCGGTAGGGTCTCGCTCCCCTGCCCAGGCTCGTCCTGCTCGCCGTCCTGCTGCTGCTGCCCGTAGCCTACAGCTCCGTGCAGTACCCACTGGGCATGCGGCTACCCCTGCCCTTCCCGGAGCTGGACCTGGACGCCATGACCCCTCCCGCCTACAGCCCCATCTACACCCTGGAGCTGCCTCCCTCCTACGATGAGGCTGTCAGGATGGCCAAACCGGGACAGGAAGAGCCATCTCCTCCGTAGCCTCGCCCCCTAGGGCCCGGGGACCCCCGAAGAGCGGGGGAGCTGAGCCTCCAAGCCCAGCCCCCCCCAGCTGTCACCCTGGTGTCTCTCCGAGGGGGTGGGGAAGGTCTCCCAATGCCACCAGCCGCGCTGTGCTCCCAGGAGACCCCCAGCCCCCCTCCCCATCCTTCCCCTGGGAAGGCCAGACGTCCAGCACATTGCTGCAGCCCTGGCCTCGTTGCTATGCAACGCCAGGCAGACACACACACACACACACACACACACACGCAGGTTGCTACATCCAGCCCCAGCCCCAGCCCCTGGCCCAGGCCCAGGCCCAGGCCCAGCAGGCCCTCTGCCCAGAGGAAGTCCCACAGGTCTGATCCTCCACAGCGTTTTGGAGAATAAAGTTTGTATCTGAGTGGCCTCTGCCTGCAGGAAAGGGCTTGCTCCGGGAGGGGCTCTCGGGCCGCCCCCCCACGCTGGCAGGTGGACAGGGTGAGTGCTTGGGCCCGACCTGCACCAGCCTCACCTTCGGGCTGCGCTTGTGGGATCGGGTGTCACAGCAGGTGCCGGGCTGTGCGCCCTGGCTGCCTCTGGGAAACCCTCCCCTTTCCAGACCCACATCTGTGCCAGGCGGGGGCGGGGGAGCCACAGGAGTCTGGCGGGCGCGTTTATTGGCTACTTTTCTGGGTGGGTGGGGCAGGTGGGTGAGCAGGGCAGGTGGGTGGGGCAGGGCAGGGCAG